TATCATTAAGCAATAAGTAAAAATTTTTTCCCATAGACCGGGTTATACCTCCAGCTTATACTGAAAGGAAGAGGTTTAAGCAACATTAGGAAATGCAGCAGGGGCCGGTCGCCCCAGGACCAGTAGCATGGTGGCGGGGCCCTGGGGCGATTGGCCCGAAGGCCGTACCGGTCTACTGCTTGACTACGCGGTTTTAGGTCAACGCACCAAGGTGTATCTGCCGGAGTCTGGAGCGCTCTCCAAGGCCCGGCTCATGATGACCCACAGCGCGGCTCCTGCCTTTCTTCCCTCCCCCTATAGCTAGCTCAACTGCAAGTATAGGGGACCGGCCTGGCACCGTTGTCGGGCGGCTCCTTCCTTACTTCAGGAAAACAGGAGCACCCCTTGACATAAGTGCAGGCTCGCCAAGTCAGGCAACTTTACCATCTTGCGAGGGGCCGCCGCCGCAGTTTACCACCTTTCTCTTCCCTCTTCTTTTTTTAGATTCCGCTGGACCAGACACGACTCGGGGCGATCCTAGCAACCAACCAACTAACTCACTCAGACAGCTACTATTATAACACCTTTCCTGTCACGCCCGAGAGTCGCAACACATAGGGGTCCATGATCGCCCCGGCGCCCCGTAGCCGTGGCCACCAGCCTTGGTGGAGGCGGCTGCGGGGCGGCGGGGCCCTCATCATTCTGGACTTCCTACTTCTTATCATCCATCATAAATCATCATTCACGCTTCATCATACCCTCGTCAACCATTTCAATCATCCATTTCTATCTGGGAACAGGGGTTCTATCCTCACCTCACCCTCGCTTTTCTTCTTTCACCATTCTTCGACCCCTGTTTCCACTTTCTCATCACCCTCTATCCCCTTTTCTTTCTCTCTACCCCTTAGGAGGGGGCTACATTGGACCATCGAGAAGCTCCCGGGTGAATTCCCACCCCCTCCGCTCATCCTCGCCTCATCATCAGCGCCTCTCCCATTTTTAAAGGGAGTTGGTATAATCCCCCCTCATAAGGGGGATTTAAAGCAGACTCATCCAGGTTCGACAACTAATAACATTTGGAATTTTATAAAAAAAAAAAACCTGAACCTGAACCTGAACCTGAACCTGAACCTGAACCTGAACCTGAACCTGAACCTGAACCTGAACCTGAACCTGAACCTGAACCTGAACCTGAACCTGAACCTGAACCTGAACCTGAACCTGAACCTGAACCTGAACCTGAACCTGAACCTGAACCTGAACCTGAACCTGAACCTGAACCTGAACCTGAACCTGAACCTGAACCTGAACCTGAACCTGAACCTGAACCTGAACCTGAACCTGAACCTGAACCTGAACCTAAACCCTCTATAGGTCCTGCCGGCCCTGTGCTGGGTCGGGACCGGTTTGAGCACCACCGGTATCGGGAGCGTTCTTCCGGATTGCGGATGGAAGGAACGGCCTCCAGATATGGAGGCTACCGGCGTTGACACAAAAGGCTCACGGCGGACTCGCTGGCGTCCTGGACATATTCCGGGTAGCGGCAGCGGGTCGAGGTGTTCCGGACCGGCGTCCCAGAAATAGTCCGGTTCGGGGCCCGACCGGCGTCCTGGAATTGATCCAGGTAGCGGCGGTGCGGGTGTGGGCGGCGGGCTTCACTGGTTTCACCCGGACAGTGAACATGCCTTTTGGTACCCGTCGGCCGACCCGTAACTTCGCTTTAGCGGAGCCGGGGGCTGTCCTTAAAACCTAAAGACCCGTCGTTAGGGTGCGCGACGTCGGACCGCCCATGTGTGGGTGGTTGACAGGGCTAGTCAACCAGCTAGCGGCCAACCCAGGGGTACCTCCCGCCCCCCCTGGCGTATATAGGGTTACGTGGGTACCGCGGAGTCCACGAGCTTGCATAGGTTGTCATCCGGCGTTAGTTGTAGCGCCGAAGGACAATGATATCAACCAGGACACGATTACTACCGAATTGAAGCGGATCTTGAAAGGGGCAAGCGTCCTCAACCCCACCAACTTCCGGCTTATATCGAAAGGCAAAATACGCCTTCAATTCGACACACACTTTCGAGCAAGAAAAAGCGGCTGACCACCTTATAGCCACGGCCACCTACAAGTTTACTGTGGAACCTGAAAGAAAGGTCCATCCTCGGATTATTCTGAAAGGTATCCACAAAGATACACCTTCTGAACAGTTAATTCAGGAAATTAAAGACCGAAACCCAACAAATCTAAACAAATATGCATGCACTGTGGGTTCTCCGTTCACATACGAAAGGAGTCTCCCACTGCCAGGTGCTATTATGAGTGTCCTACAGTTAATGCAGGAGGGTGTCATCAAAACACTTTCCTGCATTAACTGTAGGACACTCAACTCAATATAAAAAAAAAAAAATAACAAAAAAAAAAAAATTAAAAAAAAAAAAAAAAAAAAACCGGTCCCCCATTCCCTCACTACCTCACTAAAGGACGGAGAAAATTTTTTGTGGAGAGTGGGGACAGATGCAGCTACTGCGGGGGCCCTCACCTACGAGCGAATTGCCCGGATAGAGAAGCGTGAAATCCACCGAGGTGCTGCAACTGTGCGCACGCAGACTTGGAAGAACAAAACCACAATGCATGCAGGATGCAAAACAAGAGAAAAGTGGGAGTATCTGGTAACTCAATACGAATGAAGGAGGCCAGGAGAATAAAAAAAAAAAAAATAAAAAAAAAAAAATCTTTTATGTAATGAATTTTAGATTTCTGATTAAATCGTTTAGGCAATGAACATTATTTTCAGCATACGTTTCAGTAGCGCTGCACCTCCACGGTAGGCCCATTAATGCTCTATACGAGTTGTTGTATTGTACACGAAGAGTGTTGAAAGCACCTTTCGTATAGTTGCTCCAAAGTGAGCTTGTGTATAAAGCTTGACAATATTTAGAAAAGAGTCACTTTAACCTGGCTTGAACAATGGGCAAACCGTCTGGCCAACATATTACTTCTCGTTACAATCGAACACCTTTGTCGTTCTAAGTCTTCCTTATCGTTTTAATTGAAGTTGGCTAGAGGTGACACTCAGGTGATGAACACCCCAAAACCCTCTCAAATGGGTAAGGCTCGACTGGACAAAAGGTCTCCAAACCTAAAACCAATAAGCCAAAAACCGCGATTCAGAATACTATGGCGAATGTGGGACAATTCAAAGGGCCTTCTAATAATAGTCGGGTAGTCGGGGCGTCAAGCCTGCAAAGCCACAATGTTGATAGGTTTAATAGAGAGAGGATTCTGGGAGGTGCCCTGAAACGGGGAGGGGAGTTCCCTTCGCTTCGCGGTTACGGCTCTGTCGGCTGTGGGCTTTCACACACTTACATGCACACAACACCCACAACGTATGCGTAAAGCATTTCTCAGCGAAAAAAAAAATATAAAAAAAAATGACCAATTACATAAAAGTGCCACTTAAAAAAAAAAAAAAAAAAATCCAAAGTGTACATACAAGTGTAGTATAACAAAGAGGAGCAAAATCAACACGTGTTTTATATAAAATTCACAATTAAAAAAAAAAAAACTTCAACTTTAAATCATCTAGAGTCCGAGGTCTATGGGGAACAGCTCTATATTATCGGCTGTCCTCGAAGACGTGCACAAGGGCTACACAAAGAAGAAAACGGCACCATTCTAATTCCACTACAACCCGAGAAAATGACTAAGGAATTTTGGGACCAATTTTCTTCAATCTCCAGAAGCCAGGATTTTGAACTTTTTCGTATGATATTATAATATGTGGTGTACCTAGCTATTAGTTATTAATGAGCCAAATTTTAGGTTTTTAGGACGAGCAGTTTTAAATTATAGTATTTTTAAATTTGTTTTGCCACCTGAAGGGGAACCGGGTTATTATAGGGAGTTCTCCATATTACCATTCACACTAGAACCCCTCTGACATCTGATAAAGCTCCAAAGAACAACGAGCTAGGGCCTATATACGAAAAAAAAAAAAACAAAGACCCGCGGTCAATTTATTATTTTGTTCCCCAAGGGGAAAATTTTGGGAAAAAAATCCCTGATACAAATTAGTGGGCTTACGAAGACGCGGTTTTCGAACCATATATTGGAGACCATATCATATATCTGGATACTCCCGAGACTAAAATTGACCTTGGGCAACATTATGCCCTAGAGCGTTTTAGACTACAGCCAGAGTTATTAATAATAAAAAAAAAAAAACAACAAAAAATTGGCGGCCATTTGTTCCGCCATTTTCGAAAAGTTGGAACGGCTGAAGCTCCAAATCTTTGGAGGAAGTAGGCATCAAGAGAACCAGATAAAACAGTAAAAACAAAGATCGGAGCCAGATATCCCCCCCCCCCCCAATTCTGACAGTGTTATTTATTACTGACGGTTACCCAAACATCTGTACACCACGATGAGTCCGCGACAAATGAGAACGGACTGCGCTCTACAATGGTTTTTTTGGGGGTAGAATCACTTTTATGGGTTGCCTCGGCCATGAAAGTTATATTAATGTACTTTTATGTCTACTAATACCCCAAGGGCAATCGATAAATGAACGTTATTGTGATTAAACAATGTTTTATTTGGGAGTTTACAATGCCTCCTTTCAAATACAATAAGTTCGTTACATTTTGGTGATGATGTTTCTAGGAATATGAAAATACTTTTTTAGGAGTTCCGGAGCACAACTTTCAACGTTACAACTTTCAAGTCCTGGAGAGGCAGGGAGTATTTTTTAGGAATAAACAACGTCTTCAGTAATCATAACCGTTTATTAAATTTGTTTCATCTCTTACTCTAATATCACAATAGGTTCGTTCCTTTACGAATACTAATTTATTAACGTTTTTGCCATATTTACACAGTTTACAAATCAAAATTTAGTCACACTCGACATTAACAGTTTACAGCGGATCTTTCTAAGTCATAGAGGTATAGGAATACAACACGCGGCGCGCTCAGGTCGCTCACACGAGGATCGGTGGGCGCGGGGGCCGCTCGCTGGCGCGTCGCGCGCGCTATAACGCCGCGTCGGAGCGCAGCAGCGCCACCGCGGGCGCGACGGCGGCGGCGGCGGCGGGCGCGGGGGGCGCGGGGAAGGGCGGCACGCCGGCGCGGAGCCCCACCAGGCGGCGCGCGTCCAGCTGCACGCCGTTCTCACCCCGACTGTCCGCCTTCAGCCGCGGATACAACGACGACTCCTCCGTTTGCACCTGACGATCTGACCAGCTTCGCTCTGTGAACGATAACGATTAAAAAAAAAAGAGTCGATGACGATAGAGCGGTAGCTCGATTTTTTTAACTAAATAAATTATAAGGTCAAAATTCAGTACACCGGACGGCGAAACGTTTATCTAAAAAAGGATCGTTCGGGAACCGAATTGAAGGATGTAATTTTTTCTCTTCGATCTCCCTTCGATTGCTCGATTTGTTTCGATAGAGATATGATTTCTTTTCGGAACATAGAACACTAGCTTTCCGTCAACGGCTTCGCCCGCGCGATCCCCGGGGAACCGTTCGGGGGGATAAAAAGGAGCCCAGAGGTCTATGCGAGCTTCGTTTGTACACGAACGAAAATTCGGCAAATTTCGGATCGCTCTTATAATTTTGTTGATACAATATCCGTGAAGATTGTTTCTGCACCAGAGGCAAGGTCAGGTCCTCCCTCTTTATCATCAGAAATTATCGAAAAATGGGTTTCTTTAGAGTTACATTAGTGTTTCGAAAATAGACGAGATTTCGTTTTTCGTGAAACAGAGGAGGCTTCTGTTCAGTGGTTTTTTGGACGGAAGAGGAACGAACGTTTCGCATTTACATCATAAGGATGGGGTAGCGACCTGTGTCGTTGAGCGTAGAGAGGTCGGTGGAGGGCGTGAGGTCGGGCGCGGGGGGCGGCGCGCGCGGGAGGGGCGCGGCGCCCACCAGCGCGGCGCACACGGCGCCCCCCGCCGCGCCGCGCCCCCCCGCCGCGCCGCCCGCGCCCGCGCCTGTCATCGACCTCCAGCGGTTGGGCATCAGGCTCGCCCGCACGTTGCGTTCCGGTCGCACGATTATTATGTACAGCTGAATGGAAAATAAATTTTCATTGCGAATATGTTGAATGAAAAGTAGTATTGGTCATGTGCGTTCTGAATATACTCTAGTGTGAAAAATATTAATTAAAAAAGATGGATTATCTGCGACATGTGCTACGCTGTAACCTATCAGCATGGGCCCCGATTCTGCTTTTTATGTAATAATTGCATCGCAGTATAATCTAGGCTGCTTGTATATTGCCATTGTACTATCTACCTGAAGTGCAATATGTTCCTGGCAAATCAACGGTGATAGATATATTTGTTATTTTGTGATATAGTAAGAGTATCCATAACTGTGTTACAAAGCGCTATTGACTTTGCATATTTAAGGAAAGATTTTACAGAATTGCCCTGTTGTACTAAGGGATGCGAGGTTTACATGACGAACATAATGTGATATCTATGAAAATAAGAAGATAAATCATACCTTTATCTAACAAATTAGACAGTGAAAATGCTTATTCTGATACTAATATCGGAATTCCGATAAAGCCGGATACTCAATGTCGAAAATCAGTATCGGAATTGAATTGAACCTTCTGATATGCTCATACGATCTTTTATTATAATTATTATAAACACAAATAATTATTCATGTATTTCTACAAACATAATAATTTTTGATGAAATATAGTAAAATTATTCCTTTACATAAATCGGGTAGTACATCTGACCCTACTAACTTTAGACCTATATCCGTGCTACCTACGTTTAGTAAGAATTTTGAAAAAATCATGCTGGATCAAATACAAACATATTTTTACAAGAATAATCTTATGAATCGACAACAATTTGGTTTTACAAGGGGTCGCTCAACAACCGAAGCCGGTCTCGAGTTAATACAAGAAATTTTTAATGCCTGGGAGGCAGTGGCGTAGCTAGGTAATCTAGGGCCCTGGGGCAAATAAAAAAATTGGGGCCCACTTCTATCAAAACTGGTAAGGTTTTTTGAAGTAAAATCATTAAATATACAAATACTTTAAAAATGCTAAACAACTTTATCATCAGCTCTTTTTCGTGCATAGGCAGGTAATAAAACTATTAAACACTAACAACATAAATTACAATTACATATTATAAAACGAAATAGAAAAGATTCAAGGGTTTATTATATATTTATTTAATCATAGATACGTTGCACCAGCTTACTGTTATTTAACCTATCGCCATGCAAGCTATTTACAAAAATTATCAATAGAAATATTTGATCCAGAAGTACTTGCAGAAGGCTGACTAAAATACTTGTCAATTTTGGGCAATTTTTGTTTACTTTCTCCTCTTTCTTGGCGTTGTTTGCGTTTAAATGCACCACTGGGTTTCTTTTTTTTTGTCCATAATATTAGTTTTCTAATTTATTTATGCAATATTTATGTAAGATTGTACTCAAGTAGGTACTCACTGTTCACTGACAACGTTACAAGTAAAAGGAAAGCGAAACGTGAATGAATGAAAATGATACGATACAAGGCATCGTTGGAGAATCCCCGGCAAACACTTTATCGCCGCCAGTGTTACCACTTTTGACGGTTTGACGGACTACAATCAAATAAAATTGAACTTTTGTATGGACCAGTACAAAAGATTGATTGACATACGCTTACTTACTCCTGATACAATAACTTTTTAACCATTCTCGAAAAAAATCTTGACTCGAAGTTCACAATCGCGAATCACAAAAACGCATATCGATAAATAATAATATGCAGATATCCAAAACATTGATGAAAACATTAATAACACTGTCAACCCACACAAATAATTTACGGGAATTCCCTTTTTACCCGACTGCGCGACGCAAAGGAGGGTACCTAATTATAACTTTGGAATTACTCACAACTGAGTTTCCATGATTAAACTCGAGTTATCACCTGTCATTTTTATTTTGAAGATGGGAGAAATTTTCAAAAGTTGAGTTCGATTGAGATTTTCTGGTAAAGATTCGAGGGCCCCCTGAGCTTGAGGGCCCCGGGGCACTGCCCCACCTAGCCCCTTAGTAGCTACGCCACTGCTGGGAGGATTCACATGATGTGTTAGGTGTTTTCTGTGACCTATCTAAGGCGTTTGATTGTGTTTTTCATGAAACATTGATTAAGAAACTTCATTATTATGGATTTAGGGATTCAATTTAAATAATCTTCTCCTTAATGAAGGAAAAACAAAATGTCTAAAATTTGTACTTTAGGTAGTACAAATTTTGTTAAAAAAGTGAATATAAAAGTGAATATTAACATAAAAGATAAGAACATGGGCCTTGTGGATACCACTTTATTTTTAGGAATGACATTAGATTCTAAACTACAGTGGGGCCCACATATTAATAAATTGTCGAGTAGACTAAGCTCTGCAGCATATGCCGAAATGAAGATACGTAGGTTAACTGACATTGATACTGCCAGATTAGTATACTTCAGTTACTTTCATAGTGTGATGTCGTACGAGATCCTATTGTTGGGAAATGCTGCCGACATACAAACGATTTTTGTGTTTCAGAAAAGAGCAATTACATTAATTTATAATCCTGGGATTACGGTCTCTTTAAGGGAGAAATTAAAGGCAATAGACATAAAGATTGTTGCTTCTCAATCCATATACGAGAACTTAATGTACGTTCTTAAAAATATTAGTTTGTAAAGATAACTCATTCAGGGGTCTTTGTCATTACTCCTATTAGAGCTGGTGAGTTTCTTGCTCGTTCTTCTTATTAGTCAATAGACTTTGGACGATTCAAAAGTACTTTTAAGAGTCTATTTGAATAAATATTATTTTGACTTTGACTTTCTAAGGTAGTCATATCTATATTTTAGAAGTTCGAGTCTTCAAACACTTTATAATACAAGGCTCACTTTATATTAGTTCTTATATTGTATTAGTTGAAATCACATGTTGTATAATTAATATTACCTTGGGCGAGAAGAGGCAGACGAGAGTGACGCTGGCGCTGAGCGAGATGGTGACCGCCATGCTGGTGACGCGCAGCGGCACGTGGCTCGCCGTGCCGAAGTACAGCGGCACGAACGCGAGCCAGATCACACACGTCGTGTACATTGTGAACCCTGAACAGGACAAGTCGATGAGAAAATTTTTGATATGTTGCTAGTCGCTAACTTTCGGAAGGCTTCAGAGATCCGTCATATCGGACAAAATAGACGAACGGGGCTAAACAATCGAGAATTTTTAATTATTCAATTAGAGAAACGACTTAATTATGCATAAAAATTTGAAATTAAAAAAAAAATACAATTCGTAAACAATATTTCTATGAACAATTGTACTTAGCTGTGAATGTACATACCGATGTGCTTGCTCTCGTTGAAAGCCTCCGGAATCTTGCGTGTGAGTACTGCATAGACGGTGCACACGATGATCAGCACGACCGGGTAGAAGAAGGCGATGGTGTAGGAGGCGTCCACGTAGGAGTCGCACACGAGCATGTTGTCCTCGCGCGCCGGGTGGTGGTGGATGGCGCGCGCCGGCGACACCACCTGCCACACCACTACTATCACCACCTAGAACCGGCACAACCACCGTTCTCGATATAGATACGATACCGGACACCGCGAGGGGCGGGGGCTGTATGTCATGTGCGGGAATTAATAAAATCAAAGCGATCACAGATTGTAGAAGTATATATAAATTAAAAAAATATTAGATAAGCTGTCGAGGAAGTTCTGGTATATCGATTCTACAGCTACATGGCATCAGAACGGAGATGTCACGTATACGCCCGCAGGTTTGGAGCATATTTTACAAAATAGTAACCGATGTCACGATCGCAAATAGTCCCATATCTTCTGAATCGATCCCCGAGGATACTAAATGAAGTTTGGAATATCTCGTGCCGTGCATCGTCATCGAGCAGTTTATATTTGAGAGCATCTAATATGTTAAAATGTTTTTAAGCTGCTCGTCATCGAAATTGGGGTAATCATAATGAAATTACATTTATGACTAGTCACCTGTATAGAAACGAGGATCGCACAGATGACCAGCTGGGACTTCGGTGAGATGAGCGAGGGTCGGCGCGCCGAATGCTTGCTTGCAGCGAAGATACGCGCTATCCTGTTGGTCTTAGTGAGCAGAGCCGCGTAGACTACCGTAAAGCAAAACCCGGTACCGAACCTAAAAGGAATTATATTTCAGCTATGTAGTCCTAAAATCGAGAACGAAGTGACGAAATCATAAAAATGAACGAGATACAGCCTAAATAAATAAATTTTTAATTCAAAAACTTATCACCACTAGAGATAAATGTACAAAACTAGAGATAAATATACAAAATAACACAAGTGCCTGAACTAGGGACTTCCAGTACGTCAGGCAGAGAAAGAGATAGTCTGTCATAAAGAAGACGTCCAAGGAAAACAAATAATCTGGAGGAGAAGGAATATTTTGTTCGAGTATTATTAGAGCAAACTGTCTATCTGTCTTTTAACCCCCAACGCAAAAACGACGGGGCGTTATAAGTTTGATGTGTCTGTGTGCTTGTGTGTGTGTGTGTCTGTCTGTGGCATCAGCTCCCGAACGGATGAACCAATTTTGATTTTGTTTTTTTGTTTGAAAGGTGTATTTGTCGGGAGTGTTCTTCACTATGTTTGATGAAAATCGATCCAAGATGGCCGCCGCCACAAAATATCGGATTACATATTTTTTCACGATTCCATCAATATGGGTTTGGCTTGAGTAGTAGAATACTATACACTATGACAAATTTAAAATCCAAGATGGCCGCCACCAAAAATGTTGGATTACATATTTTGTCACGACTCCCTCAATTAGATGACCAGAAAGATGAAAACAAGATCTGAAATACATAAGATAAATACCTTATTATTTAACTATGAAATACTAGTACGAAAGTAGAAAAACTAAAATAACTAGAAAAAGATAATCACTAAATTAACTGAATCACAATTTGCAAGTAAATTAATCAAAAGTTAAGGATTTTCTAAAAAAGCAAGTAAAAATAAACAGTTAAATTAAAAATTTAAAAGACCCCCGACACAATATAATAAAAAAATAAAGTAAAAAGCTTAGAAACAAAATAAAATACAATAACTTAATTGTCCACAAATAATGCAAAAAAGGGAAAAACGTGAAACCCTTTAAAAAGAAAAAAATAACCTTGACATTATGACTCTACATAATCACAGACAACAGCATGTCGGACTATTTCATTTTGAATTTTGGGCTAATATTGAACTGCAAGTATCTTGACCTGCTGTCGATCGTACATATGATTCTTTTTTATTAAATGTTGTTTTATTAATAAAAGCCGAACGGAAAGCACGGAGTGCTGCTCGAGAACTGTGCTCATTATAAATAAACGTTCAACCGTCAGGACCTCGCACGATTCATAAAGCTCGAGAGCGGGGCAGAGGAGGAGCGGAAAGAACGAAAAGAGAAAACTGCGAGGACCGCCGTCTGGGTTCTTTCGACCGCTAACATTAAAATTTTAGTCGGTTCATTCCATGAAGTGACACGGTATGCATCGACAGAGCGCAAAATATATTCGCCCAATTATTTCGTGTTCAGCAGGAGGGCGGATTTTTTTGAAGTCTAGTTTTCGAAGGCTTCTTCTTCCGGCGGGAAACCGGGCGGGAGCGGAGTACCTCTGCAGCGAGCAGAGCAGATCGGTGGGTCGCTGCACGAGCGCGAAGGTGACCAGGTAGCACATGAGGATGCCCGCCAGCAGCACCAGCGACAGCTCGCGGCCGCTGGCGCGCACCACGGGCGTGCCGCCGCGCGCCGCCCACACGCCCGCCACCGCCCTGCACCACAAGCGAGCGTCAGCGGCTGCGGCACTGCTGTGGATGCGGCGGGGCGACAGGAGCGGGGGGGAGGGGGCCTCACACGGTGAGCAGCGCGCCCAGCGCCGAGAAGGCCATGGCGCCGATGGCGGCGGGCGCGTCGGGGCGCAGGTACAGCTCGGGCACGGGCGCGCACCGCACGCGCGCGGCGTCGGGCAGCGTGCCCCGCGCGCACTCCACGCACGCCGTCTCCGACAGCGGCGACCGGATCTGGCGGGCACAGGACGTACAGCTGCGACTCGCCCGTCCGACGCTCTTCGCGTCAGACCGAGTCGCACAAATGTAACTATATCGATAAGGAAATCGCAGCGAACAAACGGCTCCGCTTAGAGATTTCATTACTCTTTTGAAAAAACGAACGTAGGAGTTTTAGGCCGCTTCGTGCTCGCCCGACTCGAGAAATAAATAGAATAAAAATTAAGCGTGCGAACGTACCCGAAAGATTTCAAATAGGGGCATGAATTACGCCGCGGCCGTTCCAGAAAAAGATGGCTCCGCCGTGTTCGCTTTCAAAAAGATCTCAAAAAAAGATAGCCGAAGCGAAAACTGTCGGCCCATCCTTTTCTGGATTCGACCGGAGTCCCGCTGGGGCTCCAAATATAAGGTAACACGAGGTATTTTCTATGATACGTAGGTATGAGCAAAACTGCGAACCGAATTGTAATCTACTCACTTCGTACTGCGTGCAGTTGAAGCAGTGCCAGCAGCAGCTCTCCCCCTCCACGTACTGCTTGGCCTGTCCCAGCTCGCACTCCGCGCTGCACACTGACTCGGGCGGGCGACGCTCGTCCCACTTGAACTGTATCTCTTCAATTCAGATAATAACAATGAATTAATAAATCAATTTGTGTTTTCCAAAATAGGTTAATTTGCAAAGGTTGAATACGTTAAGTTTAGAATCAGACTTACTGCATCTAGACTTATTGCAAGGGTACAGAATGAAGTGCTTATAATTACAGAGTTGTGTCGTATGCTGCCGGCAAAATAAAATGAAAGCAAATTTGGAAACGGCACACATTATAAATGGTGCATTTCCTACGTACTATTTTGATTTTTTTTAAATCTCTACTATATAACTGAATATCATTACATTTGTTCGATATTTATGTCCCTTTCTATTCTGAACCATTGTATTAGGAAGGTATACTAATAAAATGAACCGCGATCGAAGAGCATCTCGTGATTGGTATTTAAATATCGATTCATACGACCTCTATAGTCAGTCTATTGCAATCAACCATCGCGAGCGAACTTTCGTTGAACGAGCTCCTCTTCGACCGCGCCATTTTGATTTACGGCACATGCGCATTTTTCATTACCATTCCTTACAACTATTATGACCCAAAAACACAATGATCGAATCTGTTAAACTGGCACAAATAAAACAAAACTATTATTGTGAGATTAAAAATGAATAACTGCTGTGTAAGACTTTAAGACAATTACGACGTTTACTAAACAGTGAAAACCAACTTTACCTTTATTACTTTAATATATAATTAATGTATTAGTGAATCATTAGGATATTAGTTTATGTAATTTACCATTCATATCTAATTCAAGCTCTCCGTCCAAATATTCGCCAACTTTGAGCCACCGGTACACGCCTCGAGAAACTTGTTTGAAATGCAGTATATTATATCGCGCTGGACCATCACCGTTGCTGTCGAAATGGAATTCATCGCCACTCAAACCTAAAATTCGTGTCATGATTGTAGCTACTGCATAATTATGTTTGATTTGTTACGATGCTGATGTGCAACTACCTGTGAAGCGTACTTGGCGCAAATAACGGAGAAGAGTGGCGCCGCTCGCCGGACGCATCGCCTCGCATAAACCAGGTTTGCCGCCGCATAGGTCATTGTGCATGTCTCTATCAGTATCGAATACCAGAAAGGCATTAGATGTTATGATAATACAGTTTTATTGAAATTTTCTTATTATTGACTTAAAAAAGATGCTGTTTTACCTGATGGCATAAACAAATGCGAAGACAGCGTCGACCACGAATTGTAATTGGCCTTCAAATTCCGTGTTTTCGTCAGATAAGCGTTCCTTTCCCGTGCACAGTTGCTTGTACTGCACGTTGTATGGTGTACGCGGGCTGCCCGGGTAACGACAGCGGAAGTGGTCTTCCCAAAATTCTACACAAAAAAAAATGTTGGATATGAATATATTCGATGAGGACCATTCCAGTAGCAAATATCCTGTAGTCAGTGTAGCACAAAGTTTTTGTTTTAAAACTGAATAACCTAAAAAAGAGTCGTTAAGTAATTATTGCAACAATGCATTGATCATAAGGATTAAATTTTATCATATTTACTCGTTTATGATAATTTATTAATGTGCAAAGGATATTCGCTACCAGATCTGCCCTCACTGAAATGGCTGCTAATTAGGTGCATTCAGCATGAGGTGCATTCGGTGCGGAGAGGTTTACCGACAAACCAGGGGTTCCTTGGGTTGTTCTCGACGGTGAGGTTAAGAAAGTATTCCTTGAAGCCGCGAACAGGATTAGCTTGTGGTTGCACACTGATGGTTCCTTCGACTGCAGGCTCGTTGCCATCGGAGACTAGCGCGCGCGCGCTCCACCCGTCGGAGCCCACCCAGCCAAACGCGTCGGTCACTTTCAGGCGACCCACCGCCGCCATTACCCCCGCTACTTCCTGATCCGACCCGAACACTATCACACCTGTCGACAACATCCTCAGTTTAAGCAAGTCAGTCCATCAGACAGCACCGATCCATGAGGGAAGCCTATGCCCACCATGGCTTACATATAAATAGATTGTGTAATAAACTTAGCCCTGCAGCATATGCCCTAATAAAGATATAGATTCATAAAGTACTGTCATATATAATTTTATAGTGAGTAAATGCTGCCAGTGCACACCAACAATTTTTGTTATTCAGAAAAGAGCCAATCGACCAATTTTTCGACACTCATTAAGAGTATTTAAAGATGTATATATAATGACAGTTGCTTCTCAATAGTTTATCGAGAACTTAATGTGTAAGACTAAAGTAACGTGCATATATGACTTCAAAAAGTTAACAATTCATTCAAGGATCTTTGTGTTCGCTTCGACAAGAGATATTTAACAAGAGATATTTAATAATTAGATTTCAATCACTTTAAATATTTAAATCTATTATTAAAAATATTTGTTAAATAAACTTATTATAAGTATTTAATTACGTAGCAAAAAGCCTTATTAGCTTATAATTTATTTTTTTATGTTAAGTAAAAAAGTGATTTGTTTTCTCATATGACGTGGTTTATGTAAATGTCGTTGCTTCTATTAGAGTTGGTGAGTTTCTTCCGCTCGTTCATCTTATCAGCCGACAAAAAGACACACTGAACGAGTGCTAGGTAAAAAATGTTGGACGATTCAAAAGTAATTTTAATAAGTTTATTCGAATAAAGATTACTTTGAATTTGACTTTTAAATATATTCTTTTGAGGAATTTACTAGAAAAAGATAATCTATTTAATAAAAAAGAATAAACGTTCAGCAAAAATACAAATACACATACGCTAACGACACAGCGGGTGTTGCTGTATCGATGGAATCGCTACACCTATGATATAGTGGTGGTCAACATAGCAATATCTGACGCGGCGAGGAGCAATACATAGCGTTACGTGCCTCCACAAGAACTTAGGCATATTTTTTAATAACAATTTAGGCATATTTTTTAAATTTCAGAGAAAAGTTTCAAACGCAAATTCGGGCAGATGTGTACTTGGCTACAGATGCCGTTTGTTAGAAATACTTCATATAAAAAGAGAAAAAAGAGGTAGGATAACCAGTGCACAATTATAAATAGCGTCAGTGACTCAATTACCTCGAGCTCTAGGTCTGGAGAGTAGACGCGTAACGATCGCATTATACGCTTCTTCGTCAGCTTCTCCCGAATCCTTTACCAGTCTCTCCTTCACTGCTATACAGATATTATTCCGCGCGAGTAGTGTCTCTAATTCTTCGAAAGCCTAAAACCAAGTAACATAATAAAATATCAGACGTACGTCACTTGGCACGATGAAGTGAATCGAATAGTAATTTATACCTTTATGCCATAGTTTGATTCCTCATAAATGATCGACACGTATCTCCAGCCGAGTTTCTTTACGATCTCGACCATGGCGCGCACTTGATGAAGGTCCGAGGGAATCGTCCGCGTGAAGTATTCAAAACGGGCTTTATTTGAAAGTTCCGGTGACGTCGAGAAGAACGATACCTAAATGGAAATTTGTTTAGCATTTAAAATTAATTGCATCTTAAAAGACCTACGTATATTAATGTCAGCGGGTCAGACACTACGTGTACAATTAATATTTCTAGTAAACGATAGGCGAAGTTATTCTAAAACTAAGGCGGTATACACAGAAGGAAGAATAATAGAGCTATAAAGCTGGTCTTTAGATGTTTATAATTTAATGGTTTATACGAGACAAATGTGCGTTATGAGAAGATTTAGTTTAACATCGTTAACCTGCGGTATCTTGAAGAGTCGCAGCAGGTTGGCGACTTGCACGGAGGTGACGCTGGAGGCGGCGCCGACCACGCCGGATATCACCTTGCGCACGGCGGTCGCGTTGCACGCGTATTCCGCGTCGTCGATGTTGCTGATCGAACCTCCAACATAAAGACAAATCAAATATCAGTAAACCGTTTCGCATTCGGCAACTCAATAAAAATACGTAAATAAAAGCATGTCAAACTATGAAAATAGGCCAAGTGGAAAGTATTTTAGAAAAAAAAAATACATGTAACTTCATCGTAGAGTGGAATAGGCACAATAGCAGTTTCAAGTGCAATCGCGTATCGCAAGGTACTCCTATATCGGTCCCATTTGCATCTGCAGCGGCTAACAACCTCGCACTCTTGCCGGGGCCCACCTTTGATGAAGTCGAGCGCCATCTCGAGGCCGTAGGTGTCGTTGTCGCAGTCGTCGAGCACGTGCGCGCCGAGCGCGACGCCCGCGGGCGGCAGCCGCGTGCGCGCCGCCGCGTCCAGCGCGAACAGCATCGCCTCCAGCGCCTGCACCCCCCCCTGCGCCATCACCGGCCCGCAAGTGGCGCCCTCCGAACGACTGTGCACCTGTTATACATCCATTATATGAATGTTGCACCATTTCAGGGAAATTAATACTGGTCGAACTGATAATCTCCTTTTTAGGGTTCCGCAGTAAACAAGGAACCCTTATAGCTTCGCTCAATTTTTTGTACCAGCAAGTTGTAATTTGGGATGAGTTTACACGTTAACTACGGCGACAAAGTGGCAAAGTAAACTTTCGAAAAAATTTGGGCATGATATCGACTTTCCCATATTGTGGGGCATCGTTGGATAGATCTTTCAAAAACATTGGGGGTGGGGGCAGGCCGTTTTTAGATTTAGTAAACCCGTTTGTGACTTATTAAGCTTTAAAGATTTAATTTTCGTTAAAGTCTAGTGTCCCCCCTGTATCATATAAACAGCCGTTGAGAAAAATTCAAACGTTACGGCAGTAGTATCTATGTACAACGAAGTTAAAAGGAAAACTATCACACTTAAGTTGACTTGAAAAGTTTACCTTTAAGTAATAGTCGCCCAATTGTATTTAACTCGAAAGTTTTGAACAACTCCATAGAAAACAACAAACGTAATTTTTTAAACTTTTTTTAATGGACAATAGAACGGAACCCTTCGGCGCGAGTCCAACTGGAACAAAAATATGTGGAGTAGAAAAACATTTGTTTCAATATACATTTCTTATTCATTCATATCTACTCACAATATATTAGGTACATAGGACGGGACACTTCGCAAAAAAGGACCCCGGTCAAAATTCAACGACCCTTTTTGCTTTTATAAATGAAGAAGTGCTTTTATGTGTCTCTTTGTCATATGAAACTTTGATTAACTCCTAAAAATGAGAAAAATCCCCTTTAATCTATGCCGTTATCCTAGTTTCTGTGACATTGGTATACTTTGATCAGATGAAACGAAATGTATACTTACCTACTCTATTTATTGTATTTAAATATCTTACTGTATTATATATTCGCCTATTTTTTTATAATTTCAAAAATATTTATTTATATATTATAAAAAAATATTTGAGATCCTCACAATAAGTCTAACCTTAGAATTTTTATAGTTTACGTTTTTTTTAATTTACAAAGAACAACTTAACAGGCTGGTTTGTTAGGCCATCGTCATTGGGTCTTCGACTTATAGACGGACGGACGCACAGCATGATCCTATAATGGTTTTAGTTTATAATTCGATCAATTTTGTATTATAATAATTATACAATATTGTATAGTTTGTAATATATATAATCTATTGTGTTAAATATAAATGCTTAAAAAAATCTCCACCTATAATTTTCCTTTTTGAGGTACGGCACCTTATAAACATTTTTTATGAATAATGTCTTTACATGAATAATACGAATTTTCAAACCGTGCTCAGGTTGTATTATCAGATACTCCATAATACGGGGGCTTTAGCTACTCTTCTTGGAATCTAGGACTTATAACGTCTGATGATGGCAACTGAATGATAGCATCACGCATAGCAAGTGCAACTGCCTCACAAACGACTTTCATTGATTGATTCGGAGCCACAACAAGTTACTTTCAAGCCAAAAAGCAAAAAATTGGATGATGACTTAAGTGCTAAATCTGACGCTTTTGAAGTTTTGAACACCATGGCTGAAACCCAACGTGTCCAAAATGAGATTTATTACGGAGGATGTGTCACAGATAAAAGGCCAAATTATTCAAATGAAATGTACTACTGATCGCTTAGTGGAAGAGCAAAACAAGTTCAAGGAAGAGCTGGTGGGTATTAACAAGATTAATAAGGAAACTTAGAATAGAATAAAAGCTACTGAAACCGATGTTCATATCGTCAAAGCTAAGACAAACTCTGAAATTGTATTGTAATTGTAAATATACTAGAAGTTCACGAACTCTCCCAGAGAGAGAAAAGCTTGGTTATAAGTGGTATACCTAAAATATATTCCAAAACCTCCGAAGAAAGACGAATCCATGACTTGAAAGAAGTTAAAAACTTAATCAAAACAATCATTCCTGAATATGCAGAACCTATTAAAGTAGGTAAATATGATATCAATAAAACGCGTCCAATGCTATTTAACACCTGAAATACCAAAACTTATCCTACGGAGTAAAATTATGCTGCAAAAAGAGTATCAAAATCTATTCTGATGAAATACCTTACCAGAAAAAAAAATTCAAAATTTGAGAGATGAACTGAAATGTCGGATCTAGGCAGGTGAGAAAAACCTGACAATCAAATTTGTTAAGGGAACTTCAAGAATCATTCAAACTATCTCAAAAAAATAGTAGCATCGACACCAGCTATAAACGAAACGATTACATATAAAATATTGAAAAATCATACAAACTTAAATCAAAATATAAAATCTTTGAAATTAGTGTATATAAAAGCTCGGAGTATCGTAAAACCAGGAAAGCTACATCTAACACTGAAACTTCTAAAACTGAAAAAACTTGTTTAATGCCGCTGTCTCAAATATAAAAATATAATAATACATGTACACTCGTCCGTAAAATATTAAATAAAAGTATCTATATTCAATTTTCATTTAAAACAAAACGAAATTTACATAAACGTTCTTTACGTAGGCTCAATGACATTCAATTACCATCAACTCTAACAAATTATGGAAAAAAATATAACCTTCGAAGGAGCTCAACTATACAACAAATTATCAAACAATATCAAAATACAAAATCTCTTAGTTCATATAAACTTAAAGTGAAGCGAAACTATCTGGATCATTGTTTGGAAATGTATGAATTTTTCGGCATCACCATAAATAGTAGTTATTGTTGAAAAAATATATTAATATTGTTCTTTTTAATTTTAATGTATATAGCATAACCAGTAAATAATTCCGTTAATAGGATTCATCATCATCACCAGCCCTTTTTACGTCCCCACTGCAGGGGCTCAGACCTTCCTTATGGATGGTTAAGGAGGATGGGCCATGACCCTCCACGCTGGCCCAATGCGGATTGGAGGGTATTAACGACTGCAAATGCAGCCGGGACCAACGGTTTAACGTGCCTTCCGAAGCACGGAGTAGCTCGAGATAATAATTTTTTTTTTTGGTCACCCATCCCGTGACCGACCCTTGCGAAAGTTGCTTAACGACTACGAGCGGGGGCCGCGGCGCTTATCCACTACGCCACCGAGCTAATAGGATTCAATGTCTATCAATGTCAGCTTGCTATTTGCTTTCAATGTATACGATACGTAATGGAATCAACTTGTCAAGTACCTCTTTCATCAAACATTAATGATATAGCAAATTGAAGAGTGATATAATTGTGTAATTTGTTTATTGTGTGGTGCTGAATTATTGTAGCTCTTTTTTTTGTCAATTAAGTGATTATTATTATATTATAAGAGATCTTCGATGTGGCTGTGTGCGTGCCTATTTTTTTTTAATTACCAGCAGAGCATTTTGGATATGTTTTATATTTCTCATGTAAGTCTATATGTAATTCATTTTGAGAAATAAACGTGTTAAACCTAACCTAAATGACGATTGTAAGCTCCAATAAATATTCTAAATTTGAAAATTAGTATCGATAATGGCGCATTAAACTAATTACAACTGGATGTTAGGATTATAATCGAAAAGTTGTTATGGAAAAATACGACGTAAGTCTCAAATATATTGAAGATCCGGCTCGAAGGACCAATTGATGTATGGGTTGAGTGACACACACACCAAAATTATAAGAAGTTGAATGATAAATCTTGAAATGTTAAAAATAACTTTTATTGCGTAATTAATTGTAAATACTAATTGATGAGTCGCGAGTTGAATGTGGACTGACTTTACATACCTAACGAATGTCGAAATGAAATAAAATGATGACCCTAATACAATTAAAATGTAGGTAATTGGACCGTACAACCTTGACAAAATGCGTAAATTTGCGAAACAAGATAAAATACATTCACTATTCACGCTTTACCAACCCCCGGATGTTCTTTGGAGCGTCTGAGTATCTGACTCATCCTTCTTTGGTGTTTTCCAATGTCTGGCTAGAAAATTTAGGCTTTCGACTTGCTTACTCGAAGCGCCTATTTCAAGTACCAAGAACACAAGTCGGTAGTCACTTCTGATATGGAACATATTGATCAGAGAGACATCCCTAACTATGCCCATCTTGTATGTCGTGATAAAAACTATTTCATTCTTCATCTTGCCATCGGGGCTTTCTCAAATTCACTTTCTTCTTGACTTCTTTCATCATCTCAATCATCTATATAAAATTTATATTTTGCAGCGTGATATGTATATGTAACATATTGTATTAACCTCGTTATAGTGGCATAAGCAGAGATAAAACCAGTGATCAGTCGAAGTAACAATAAGAGTCTATAATTTATCAGCAGAGTGTAAAGAATTTATAGAGTGTTCATGTTAGTGATACAAAATATACAGTTATAAGAAAAACATTGTTGGGACGTATCCGATGTAGGCATCAGTTTCGACGGGAGGCAGAAGGAATTTATTCAATAATCAGAAAAGTCAACGACATTAAATTAAGTGAAGTGTGAGTGGGACGTCCGCATGACAGGATATAATCGCTTGCTAAAACTTTGTAGTGAAAATAATATTTTCAACGAAAATAAGCTACTTGCTTGTTGCGATATTGAAATTCATAGTACGAGAATACATCTGAATGTGACATCTGTTTATTTTCGCATTTTATGTTTACATAATAAAATATATAAATACGATGGCATTTCAGAGAACATGGCAATATCATTTATCTAAAGGATGTTCACATTGTTAGCGGGAACCAGTGAAAGCATGGAGTAGGTAGTAGTATAACCATTTACTTATGGCAAATGCATATTTATGTTAATTAGTAATGACATCATTTGAAGGAATAAATAATTAAATACTTAAATTTTGTTAAAATTTAATTAAACTTAAATTTTAATTTTGTTAAATTAACAAGATCTAATAAGCATCGTTCAACTACAGAACAAGTATTAGGGTTATATACATTAAATTCATGAAACTCGATTGCAAATTCGAT